GCGGCTGGGCAGGCACGGAGGGACGGGAGCGGGAGTTTCCCCGAGCGAAGCGCCGGGGCTCCTCGCTCCTCTCGCGCTACGGCACTGCCTCAGGGGAGCGCGAGGAGGAAAGCCGCGTGCTCGCTTGCTCCTAGACAGCGCTGCTGGAGGTAATGCAATGTTTTAGAAGAAAAAAAGGTCGTGTACACAGCACGTCCGTGTGCATTCCTTTGAGCGGAAAGGCGCAACCGAGCGCGCACAGCTCCACCTGCAGCTCGGCGCGGCGGGGCCCGGCCGCGACCAGCAGCGGGAGGACGCGTCCTCCTGGGCACGCAGGGCAGCCCGCGCCGGAGCACGGCTCGTGTCGTGCTGCTCCCCAGCACGCCCCTGCCTTCCCCTCATTGCAACGTGGGGCTCCCGTGCCGCCACACCAGCGCTGGGGCAGCAGGAAGAGCTGCGGGTCCATTAGAGAATCCAGGCTGGGCGCAGGAAGGGCAGCGCTGGCTGGTAGGTACAGAGGAGAGCAGAGCTAGGGCTGTTCTTACCCCGCTATGAACAAGGGAAACATAAAAATTAAAAAGAAAACAGAGCTGAGGCCCGACGTGCAGCCTCGAGACCACATTTACAGTACAAGCTGCCAAACACAATACCAGGTTGTGAGCACAGGGTCTGCACTAGGGGCGAGGAAGATGATGAAACTTGAGAACAGCAAAGCAAAAGGACAACTTTTTTGAAGAAGGAACTCTAACCTTTATTCACAAATGAACCATTTCCAGCAGAAAACATGGCCAGCATCAAGCCAGGTGTAACCATGGGACACAGCTGGGTAGCTGCAATGCACCCTCCGACAGAGTAGCACGTGCCTAGCAGGGCTGGTCGTGCCCTTACCAGACGCTTCCACTCCGGCTACCTTCTTTTGCCAGGAGAGGATTTAAAAGCTACACCCCACCTGCATGGTGGCCTCTCACACACAAATAGACTGGGATCTCCCATCTCTTCCCCCAGTCAACTTAGCACCTCAAACCAAGTTTCCAACAAACCGGCGAGGTAAAAATATGAAAAATAAACAATCAAACAAAAAATCCCAAATCCATATTCTGAAAAGACAGTCTAAGGTTGAACATCACTCAGCAGTAATTATTTGGCCATTCGGCTCCAAAGCACATAGCGGAAGTGCCAAGTGGAAATGGATACAAGAGCACCCTGCTCCCAAGTATCTGCTGCTGTTGTAATACTGTGGTTAGATGACAAATTCCACAAGTACAGAAGCACCAAAGCTGAGTTCTTCCAAAATAAAACCTCCTTTAACTCTCTTCTTGGCCTTGTATTAAAAGAATGCATGAATTTTCTACAAACCAATGAGAATGGGATGATCTAAGAAGAACTTAAGTGTGTTAGCAATTTATTAAATGTGTAGCACTTCAAACCATCTTATCAACTACCCTAATGCCTAAAACTGAGGCGCGTATAAGAATTACAGGGGTTGTGTATTTCAGTGATAACCAGGCACAGAAATGTGCTTCCAGTTTACACTGAAATGTACTTTTAATTATCCTACTCAGAGAAGCCTTTTGTTGAATACTTGAGAACTACAGGTGGAGAACAAAACACTGGGAAGCACCATTTAAGATCTGCATATACAGAAAAACACCCTGAAACACTTCTAAACTCATCTTCAAGCTATTTTGTCTTGGATAAGGCACATTTTCATTAAGTTCCACTGAAATAAAACAGGCAAGAAGGACAATATGATCTTGGAACAAGCTAGAGTATAGGACTGGCAAAAATCTTCCAAGTGAGACGATCGATTCTTCATTATCAGAAAATTGCCTTAAAGACAGACAAACAAACAGACAGAAGTAGGTAAATTTAGCATGCATGCACCTAAACTGAAAGCAAAGGATCATAAATTTAGTGCCACTAGAAGCTATGACAGTTTTGCTATAGAGTTTGGAGGAAGTCTTTATGTAGAAGCAGCTTCCTAGCTTCAAGGACCACACAAAAGATGTCATCGGCACGAAGACAATCTTTGTGTAACAAATGATATAGCCAGTCTTAAAAAAAGAATAAAATACAAAGTTTTAGAAATTCTTTCCTAATAACTAGTTTCTAGTATATAAGTTTCTCTCCAAGTTTTATAAACGACAGTCTTAAAACTATTGGGGAGACAACTGAACCAGCAGCTACCAGCAGCGGACGGATTTGGGCTGAACAGAGTTTCAGGATCATTAGAAATGCCTGATGGATATAATTCAAATAACACATACTTGTCAACAGACACTGTACAGCTTCAAAAAGCTTGAACTACACACAAACCACAATTTCTATCAAATAAGTTGGACCAGAATCATCCTAAGTATTTTACTTGCATGTTTACAGCTCTTCTGTTACTAATGACTTGGCTATTGAACAGTTGCCTCATTATGAAAACAAAAATTGTTCTAGACAATCTCTCTTGAGCAAAACAGAAGACCAGAAACACTACTATAAAAGTAATTACGATTGTAAAGCACTCATGGTATTTTAAAATCATTTGACAAGTAGAACACATTTGAGAGGTATGGAAAGGTATGAAATCCTGTCAAAGTAAATCAGTAGATCACTATGAAGACTTTTTTTTTTAAATATTGTTTTGCTTCAGAAGAAGCCTCAGTTTACAAATGCCAAACTAAGCAATGCGTGTTACATCAGTCATTTCAAAAGGAACTCAGCCAAACACGCATATTACCGAGGAGTCTTTTACCCTCACCATAGGAGGTATAATTTCATGCAGATTCAAAATCCTATCAAATGCCTCTGTGTTCAGCACTTAATCTACCTTCAGTCATTCTCAAGGACTTTTCTGATTCCTAATACTCCTTCCTAGAGCAAGAACCAGGTCAAGAACTAATACCCAAGAATGGCTTGTAAGCATTTATCTGTATTGTATTGTCGATGCATCTGTGGAAGCACTTCTACTTCACCCAACTGAGCAGGATCTATTGATGTTAGTTTTAGTATTTAACACACGGTCCTGTTCAAGTTAAGGCCCTGTTGTAGTTACTTGCCCGCTACTATCACGTGTACAGAAACACCTGACCTGGAGAGTTTAGTCTGATAAGCAACATGCAAAGGGTAGTAAAGATCCTTACACTTTTCCAGCTATCAGCATAAATATTACTGGTCTGGTAATTAAATGAGTATCTCTTCTTGCTAGTATTCCACACTTACCCAAAGTGACTCCTTGATATCCTTGAGATCGAAATCGAAGCATGAAGAATTTGGTGAAGTTTGGGAAAAAAGCACCACAAAGTAACAAAAATCATGCAATTTGATAGAGTCCAGTGTTTGGGGGGCTCAAGAGGAGCATTTCTAAGAATGCATGGAACAACACAGGAACCCTGTCTGTGGCACTGCTAGCAGCCCCAAAGCAAGCAGAACTTGAAGCTTAGTGGAAGACTGGAACAAGTGCCAACTCAAAGACTTTTCCTACAGGAGGCTACATACCTCTCCAGAATGCTGGGCTGAGTGGGGTTTTTTTTGGGGTTATGCTTCTTTTTGGAGGGACTTGTCTCACCCATTAAATTTACAGCTGTAATGCTCTGCCAGGGAGATGCCCCCCAGTTCACTTCTACCCAAACTTCTTTTTTTTTTTTTTCCCCATTTCTAATGATTGCTCTGAGTGAGATGGCAGATGAGATCTAGCAGTTCCTTCTTACTTATTCCGCCCTCAGTACTAGCTGCACAATCCCTCCTCTTCCCATGCCGACACCTGACTTCTCACTGAAACAACTCAACCCAAAAGATTAACTCAACGGGGAAGGAAGGAAAAACAAACAGCCAGCAATCCTCCCTAAGCCCCAATCGGCCCCTAAGCTTACGCTCTTGCTCCGCCTGCTGCCCCAGCACCATCCTGGCTCTCTAGCTCCAGTGACCATCCAAGGCCCCTCAAGAAGCCAATCCGGCTCACTGTGCCAGAGGAGAGCTACTCATGGTGGCCACAGTCATTCTCTGGGAGAGAAAGCAGGACCTTTCCTTTCGGCAGAGGCCAATCGGATTGTCAACCTTTAGGTGTAACCTATTGTATTGGGGACCAAGGCAATGGAGCATGGAAGACACTTTCAACTAAAAAAGCTGTGAAAGACATACAATTATAGCCTGGAACTGACAATCCAATCCCATACTTCTGGCATAAATCTTTCAAAACTGAGCCTCTTCTGAGATTACTTTATGAAATGCTATGACATAAACTGACCATTAGATGTCACCTTTGTCCAGAATACTTACGAACATGTAGTCTGTGATTTCAGCGCTGTTAAAATTAAACAGTTCTCCACTGATAATCAATAGAATAATTTGTAAAATAGAAGCCTCAGTATTCCAAATTTTATAAAACACGTTTTATACGGGACAGAGCTATAAACCTCATCTGTTTCTGCAAAACTTAATGTTAATGATCCTCAGAAATCCTTCAGTAGATTAATTTAGTTACTCCTGCACACACAAAGCTTTATACTAAATTACTAATCTAGTCAGAACATACAGCTAGACAAATCAATGTGTTTTCTTATCAACATATTGAACATAACAGGCTAGAATACTCACTTATATTTATTCCTTTTTCCCTCCACTCTTGGGCATGGATTTTCTTAGAATGAGAGAGGTCCTTTTCACAATAGAGTTTATGGACAAGCCACTGAGAATACCTTTATTGTTTGTTCTCACCTGCAGCAGAGCATCTATAATTTTCTCCCTATGTAAATAAGAGAATTAACGGTTACATCACAGCATCTGCAACACATTTAGCTCAACTGAGCTACCATGAATATTGAATCCATTATAATAAACCAGGAAAGAAATAAAACCTGAACACTCTTACCTGCTAGTCTCTGGATGAATTTCTTGAAGTTTCTTCATTAACTTGGTAAAGCTGCTCAGGTTCAATGTATTAGGAGGAATAAAGGTATCAAGTGCATCAGGGAAATAAAGAGCAGATGTTTTCTGGAGAGAATTCTCTTCAGTCTTCTAGAAATGCATCAGAATAATCACAAAGTGAATGGGTTAAAAATACTGTACAGAAAAAATGGCATACCCTTGCTACTTATGTTGCTGTTATGGAAAAAGAACGGAACAGACATAAATACAGCCTAAGATTGATACTAAGTGGTTGTGCAAAGACTACTTATATTTTCAGTTCTATAAATTAGCAATAGAACAATTACATATGTTTGTATGTAACTGGCAGATTAAGTCAGAATATATCTACTGCTCAGAAAATACAACATAGCAGAGATGACAGTATTAATGTATCTAAACTGTATCTCCTAGAAAACTAGGACTTTAAAATTAAAAATGAAAAGTTACAAATCCATACAGCTTATTAGAGCACCAATTTTTTAATTTTGCCTCATCTATCAAGAGCAAACCTAAGTGAATATAATATGTATTTATATAAAGAATACTTAAGGTTGTACTTAAGAGTTTGCCCTTCAACATCTCAGCATCTTTCTGGTATGAAATCACAAGACATTCACATAGAGACAAACATTAACAGTGAAAAGAAAAAGAAAAAAAAAAGGCAAGAAGAAAAAATCAGAAAAATCCAGTATAAATAAAACTGGGTTCCCGACTGGCTTACAACATACAAGAAGAGAATATAACCTGATGCAGGAGCAAAGGAATGATGCCCTCACTCTTCTGCAGCATGCCAAAAATCTATTATTGCCCCTTAACATGTTTTGCTAACCTACCGTAATTCCAACATATATTAAATACAACATCTTGTGGAACAAATAGTTGCTTCAATTTTTAAGGCTCCTAATCTGCTACGTAAGGGAACCTTAGTAATAATCACTCACCTTTTGATTTACTCCAACCAAAGACTGTTCTGAGCCTTCAGTAGATGATTTCGCATCAAGCTGCTTCGTTTTTGAAGAGGCTGGTGAACAGTGAGTAATTTTTGAAGAAGTTGTAGAAAGGAGCAGCACCTTCTCAGAAGCAGAGGTGGTGGCTGGTGCTTTCACAGAGTTGGAAGCTGAAGTGAATGTTTTATCTTGAACACTATTTTGAGAGTTAATGGATTGGATTTCATACCAAAACTTAGTCAAAAGGTTCTGAAAAACTGAAGCTCTGTTCCCCGATGCATTTTTTACAAGTTCAACGCTTACTGTCTTTCCTTTGATTTCTTTCCTATTCATTTCTTCTACAGCTAACTTGGCTTTATTAGCGTCTTTAAAGCAAAGAAATGCATATCTAAGATGTAAAATAAAGAAATTTTAGGTAAAACATCTTAAATTACTATACGATGTTGATAAGAGCATTGATACTATCAAGAGGATCACATTGTGGCTCATCTTTTGAATCTTAACTGGTATTTTTCAATCAAACCTCAGCAGAAAATTTCAGACTGCCCAACTTGAAGAAAATACCAGTTGCCTGGAATTACAAGTCTTCATCGAATAAACTCTTATCTACATGAAGTGCAAAATAAAAACACACTAATGCACAACTCCCTCCTCTCTCCCCTATTCACTTATTTTGACAGTAAAAAAATATGAAAGAAATGAAACATCTATTAACATACCTGTAGTCAGAAGAATCCACACAGATAAGAATGTTATTAACTTCGTATTTCTGGAAATATGATCTTAAATCACCCTACAACAGATGAGCATATTTAGTTGTGAAATATAGTGTAAAATAGTTCACAAGACAAATAAACAGGAAGAAAGAGCAGATGTACCTCTGACACCGAAGAATTTAAGCCTCCAACAAGAATAAAAAAAACCTCACCGGCATTCTCCATTATCTTCATTTCTGAAAATTAACACATGAAAACGAAGTATTACTGGCTACTACTGTTTCAGCTGAAGCTAACATCTTCTCTGTAAATTTTTGAAGACATGTAGATAGAAAAAAATCTCTAAAAAAACCTAAATGAATGAATAGTATTTTTAAAAAGAAAAAAGGTAGTGCCATGAGAAATAGAAATCTGTTTCCCATGTGTATTTTACAATGTCTGATAAAGAATCATCTGCTCTTTTTAGCTTTCTCTTCAAGGTGGGTCTTTCAGACATATAGTTTCACATAATTTGCTGGAAAATGTCTTTCAATACCTTTAAAACAGTGTCTAGAAAACAAAGCATTCAGTATTCAGAAGGGAAGGAGAATTAAAAACATTTCTTCCACATACTGTAGAAGAGGTCAGCATCGTAACTACAATCAGAGACCCTGCTTTATACTAACGGGTGCCAACCCTGAAGCTGGATTAGGGTATCGAGAAACTCATCCTGGCACACACGCACTCTCAGATTTCTACATACTTGGACTTCTAACCATGTCACCTGGGACCTGGATTTCAGAACATGTACCATTACATCCCAAATAACTCTTATATAGAAGTCAAAGGAAACAAAGAGGAGGAGCAGAGAAAAAGATTTCCAACTACACGATTGGCTATATTTTTCCAGGTTTAGTTATGTTTTAGAAGAACACAGAATATCCAAATAATAAATACCTATTAGATATGCCATCTTAAAGCATTTGAACTCACCTCTTGGACTATCTGTGTCTTGTTTTTCTTGTTGTTTTTCATCAAATGTCGCTGAAAAATCAGTTGCTGCCAAGTTCTCTTTAGCATCAAACCAATATTCATTCATTTCTTCATTTTTTCTACACTCTTGAGAGTTAAAATAAATTTCAGTGTGTAAAAATTCAAACCATGGTATCCAATATGAATAAATATTGAGTTTCTGCTCTGAGTATTTAAGAAAGTTCCAGCTGTGCAGTTTACAACTTCTCAATTCTGATTTAAGCCACATGATTTTTTTCAATAAACTAGAATATACAGCTGATGCAAAATGAAGTGTTTCATCAGAGAAAGCACGAGAGCATTGTATATATATTTTATTCACAATTTCATTTTTAACAGCTTAGCTAACACATAATATAGTATTTGGATTAGAAGCAGCCACTTACCATATTCAACATCCTGATCTTTATGGTAGTCTTCAAATGTCTTGGAAGTAGTAGAGTGTCTGGGCTGAGTGCCACTAGTTAAATGTACTGTCTGAGGATTGTCCTACAAACATGTTTAAGTTATCTTATAGTGCTTGCATGTCTTTTTTTTTTTTATGTTTCAGAATATCAATCAATTAACAAGTACATTTTAAAAAGTTAACCTATGTATCCTGTTCGCAAATTCCCAACTTATTTTATTTTGAAAGGTCAGAATTCTGGTCACAACAGATGCATTTGCTATTACTGGCAGATAATGTTAGCTTGAATTATGAAGAACGCGATTGTATTTGCAATTACCTATCTAAAGGTAGTACAGAAAACTCAGTAAAGAAGAAGTCCCTACCACATTGACAGAAGTTTTCATTTCTTGCAGTTTTGATTCTTCAGAGTCTGTTTTTCTCCCACCTGAAGTGGAACTAAAAAAAGATCCGAGAATATAATACAAAATATGGCATCATAATCTTTAATTCTACAATGACACTGACTCCTATATAGTATTATCTTAAATATATCTAGTTACAGAAAAATTGGAAGAGCCCACAGTAGCATACATTGGATGTGCTTAATAAATCTTAGCCTGCAAAGAGAATTGGAATTTATATATTGTATTTTGTAATAGCATTGGTTGCAACCTGAAACTTAAAATAACGATATAGGTTTGCATTGCATTGTTTTCCTGTTATTTAATGTGTGTTTTGTTTTGTTTTTTTTTTTTAAAGACAGCTATCACAGAGTAGAGGTTAGAGAAATGTGTTAGAACTGAAAGTAATGGAGGCGCAAAGCAAGCTGTAAATTGGAAATACTTGCTGTAAAGACACTAGGATACAAATACAGCTCCATAGTTTACCCATCAGAATGCTACGGAGTGAGATTTCTTAAAAATGGAATCACTGTGTGCAAAATACCATGCCAGGCTTTCGGCTGATCAATTTGGAGCGACAGCATACAGTCTGAAAAAACTCTCAAGTTTAACATCTTTGAACACTTGCACCACATTTATTTTTAACTATAATATATAACATACTTCCACACTACTTACTCATGAAAAAGATCCACTCTGTACGCCTGTTCAAAAAGAAAAGACTTGCTTTAACTTGCTGGTTAATTTATATTAAAAACAAAACAAAAAAGTGTTTTTAAAATTACCTTGCCTGGTACATAAGAAGAAAAGAGTGTGAACAATCTTGTCTCAACTGATAGAGAGGGAAGTGCACTTAATGGTACTCCCATTTCTATTTTCTTTTTCATAGTCTCGTAGCTCTTTTTTAGCTCTTCCAAAACCGACAGGAGAGATGCATTTAATTCTGTGTCAGCTAAACCATTTTTAATACATCTGTTAAAATATGCATAAAAAGATCAACTAAGCCAGACATGTCATTTGCTTTACTGCTTCCAGAGTTATTTAAACATTTTGCAGCGCTTAAAAGATTTTTTTAAAATAGGTATCAATATCCCTGTTCATATTGACAACTATTGCCTACAGACATTGGTTTCTTTTTAACTGCATTCCTAATGTTTTATGGACTCAGCCATGGAAGTCATTCATGAACTGTATTAAGAGTCTGATTGTTACAGTATTTGGAAGAAGCTTGAACTACCTTTCCCTCCTCCCTAGGGCAGAGCAGTATTGCTTACCATATCTTAGCAAACTGAACACTGTAAAAACTAAGATTTTTCTAAGTTTTGAAAGAACATTAGCTCACATGCCTAACATGCCCATTTATTCTTCAGAGACAGCTCCTTTCACAGTCTCACATGCCTTCTTAAACACTTTGCTAAACAATTGCTATGGAGCAGACACTAAGATACTTTCTGAATTAGTTGATGTACTTAATTTCATTTAAAAGGACACTAACGTACATACCTATAAAAACCTTTTTCTTCCTCCGACATCAGTTTGTTAATCTCATAGCAGTGATGGCAACACATCTGATAATGCATATTTAGAACCTGCAACTCTGCTTGAACAGCTCTCCACAGTAATTTTCTGCAGCAGATCGAGTCCTTCAAAGATTGCTTCTCAAGGTGTAGAGGCCTTTAAAGTAATAATAATCTTGAAGAACATAAATTGAATCAATTTATGTTATATTTTGAAATAGTAGCTTTCCAGAAGCTATTTCTGATATATTTCAAGGAGAAAGGAAAAAAAAATGAATACTCTGTCTGTCAGAAAGACACAAGCACTTTACTATAGCCAGTGGAACACCTTTCACTTTACTGCTCCCACTTCGAAAACATTTCTTACGCCCGGTCAGAAATATGCCTGACAGTAACTTCTGCCTCCTGTGCTTCCACCATGCACCTCCGCAAAGGAGCCCCCTACATCTTCTCTATCACCCATCACCAGACAGCTAAAGACTGCAGTTTGCTTCCCCACATTCCCGGGATCCCCTGCTCCAGGCTGAACAACCCCATATCCCTCCATCTTTCCGCAGCCAACGCATACTCCAGCTCTTCTGTCCATCTCAGCACCCTCCACCAGGGTTTATTCAGTTTACCAATTTTTCTTGCATTAAAAGGCCCAAGACTGGAGAAAGTTTTCCAGCTGCCACCTCGTGAGCACCTAAGTGAGATGAACCACCACTTCACCCAACCCGCTGGCTGCACTTTTGTCCATGCAGCCCAGCATGTGGTCTCCTTCCTGGATACACAGGCGCACGGCTGAATTATACTTAACTTTCTGTTCAGAAGGATTCGCGGCCAGCTGAGCCCTTCCAGTCGAAAGGCAGTTTCGGCAATCGTGCCCTCCTGCTGCAAGGCTACACTTATCTTTGCCGAACTTCATGAGGTCTCTACCAGCTCGTTCATCTGGTTTGCCCAGGTCCTCCGAAAGGCAGCCCTACCCACCAGCACGTGAGCTGCTCCCCAGCCATCTCCGGTATCAGCTTTGCTAAGCAGTGTACAGCTTTTCAACTACGAAGAATGTAAAAAATCTTACGAAGTATCTGCCAGTCTGAAACAAGAACAGCCTCTGACTCACCTGGCAGTGCTACACGGCTCATTTCGTGATTCCCATGGATCCTGGACAGAAACATTAAAAAGTCACAAATCAACATCTGTAAAGACATTTCAAGCAACACAGAGACGGGGGAAAGTTTTATACATTGAAATTACTATTTTTTAAAGTTACCTGAATTTGTGAAGTCTCAGCTGCTGCAGTATTGCCATCTAAATGTTTTCCCAATATGTCAGCAAACTGTGGCCAAGTTTCTTCTGTACTATCAGATACCCAAGACCAGTCAGTATTGCAAGCAACATCTGCACAGACTTCACGGCGCCACTCCACGGGTCTGGATTTGTTCATCATTGTTATATCTGTGTTAACAGCCCTGGAGACCAGACAAACCTGGGCATTGGTAGCTCTGCTGGTTGTAAAGCAAGCTCTAAAATCTGAACTTGCATCAACAGTCTGGTTAACGGTAACTTTAGAGTCACTGGTAACACTATCCAAGCTTGCAAGCCGCTCTAGTTCTGGCTTCAGATACCTCACGTTGCCACCAGATTTGTCAACAGCTTCCAGCCCAAACAAGGGATTTTCTCCAGCATCAGTTTCAGGGACTGGACACCAAGTTTCAGCTCCCTGCTGAGTGCAGCCAACACAGCTGGTACCGAGCGCACACGCAATGGATTCATCACATCTGCGAGGATTAATCTCACCTGCACTTCTGCAAAATTGCGTGGCTATTGCAGGGAACTCTTCTTGCTTCACGGCGATGCTGTGAACATGTCTATCCTTTTTTTCCACTGTTTCTTCATTTACAGCTATTTTGGTCAATTGTGTGCCATCAATCAAAGAAGTGTCTTTCATCTTTTCATTTTCTAAACTGCCATGTATAAACACATTCAGATAAGTCCTTTCTTCACTCCCACAAGTATGACTTTCAAGTGTATTTTCATAAAGAACACTATGATACTCTGTTAGCTCTTCTTCACAATCACAACTCATGTCTTTGCACATTGGCAGGGACAGACAGTCCTGAAGTTCTTGGGGAAGTTCTGGAACAGCTGCTTCTATGCAGTATTTACAGGTAGAACAACCTTCCAGTATGTTAACAAGATCCTGCTCCTTTCTAATCCCGTTTCCTGGAACTTCATGAACTGGATCTACTAACTGTAAAGTTTCAATTCCTACAGTTTTCATTTGCTTACAAAACTCGCTTGAGCTATTCCTATCATAATAATCTTGCTCGTCACTACTGACATACTCCAGCTGTGAATCCTCACTTAAATCACTTTGTCTGTAACCATCACCAACCCTGCAAACAAAATGCTTATCGTTGCATGCCCTTCCTGGCATATCAGCCTCTTTCTCCCTTTCATATCCACATGCACAGCAAATCGTTGCTCTCTCTTCATTATACATTTCAAGATCTTCATCTAAAGATGATGCTAGATAAGGTAAACTTTCCTCTGACAACTTTAATTCTGAGACGTTTACAGAACATGCCTGGCCAAAACCAGAGCAGTTAACTTCTGCTGCAAGGTCTCTGATGACAGTGTGCTCAACTTTCTCAGAATAGGAGAGAAGATGGGAGGTCTGAACGAAGAGCTCCGGTTTGCTTTTAACGCTGCTGTTCTTTTCCAGTTCCATGGTGTAAATACTTATGTATTCCTCAAAAGTAATCCACACAAAAAACTTAACTCAATTTCATGGTAATCCCTCAAAGTAACCTGCGGCTCTTCTCCTGAAGTTTATTTTCACCTTAATACAAATAGAAAAAGTTCAAGTTACTCTGTCACATACAGAGGCTCAGCAATGCCTAAAATAATGTATGTTTATTTAATTATCTTTAAGTATCTAAACTTCTGTATTCTACTTCAGAAACTAGGAACTACATGGTATATTGTCAAAGTCTAACAGCCCAAGTAAGCCTCTTAAAAGTTGCCATTCTTTCCTGATTGATTCTAATTAATGGAGTAAAGGTGTCCTCAGAGACCAACCAATTCTGTTTTCTTAAGGGCTTGGGAAAAAGACTCCAACCTCTTAATGACAGAGTATTTCTTGGCTGAATCATCAAAATCACAGCTGATACACAGTAATGTTTTTATGTTATATACTAATTTCCTGACAGTACACAGAATATGCCTTCCTCTTTTTCTCTCCTGTTTTTGTCTTCTCCATAGAGAACCTTGAGCCCTTTTAGTTCTTAGAAGACAGAGAGATCTGTGAGAAAGAGATTGGTGTCCAACAAGAACTAAAAGCTCTCGAAGTTTTGGAGGGTAAAATAAAGCAAACCCAATCAAAACAAGAAAAAAAAAAAGGCACGAGAGAAAAACATATTCTTCGTATTTGGGAGATACAGGAAGATATGCTTATCTAGCATGGAACTTGAGGAAACCTGAGAACCTTTACACCTGCAAAGTGTCAGACACTGAAGAAAAGAGGAAAACCATTTCTTACATCACAGAACTTCTTTCCACAGCAAAAAAAAGCTGACAGCACATCAAAACTGTTCTTTGCTCTAGACTTGCAACACAGTTAGTTTAAAGGCTTATACCAACCACAAATGAAAAGCAGATAGAAAGCATATAGGGATGGCAAAATATCTTATTCCTTATAACTCCTTATGGCTGCCTGTTCCTTGTCTTCTAAAGAGTTTACGGTGAAGAAAAGGGTATAAAGGAAGTTGTTAGGCATATTTCTCTCAATCAGGCACTTTTTCAAGCTATTTAAATTAAGTTTAAAAATTTGAAATTACAGCAACTGGTCTCTAACAGCCTCCTATCCACACCATAAATTTGGGAGAACTGATGAGAAGAGCGGACTTTAAAATAAAACACCCTAAAGAGGGGGAAAAAAACCCCCACAACCTCAGATTTGCATCACCGTATGTTCCTCTACTAAGAATCACCTGAGAAAAGCAATTAATGGAAGCAATGGAACAGAAATGATTTGCATCGTTTAACAAAGCTGTTAACAGAAGCCTGAAGCTCCTTCCCAAAAAAATCCTCTATCCTCTATCACTGTTTCCTTGCTTATATGCTTCTGCAAAGCAATTTGTTTCAAAAACTTACCTCCCTTACAACACTAGCTTTACCTAATTGTGGTAACAGGATTTTTGAGTAAAAGAATCTATGATAATAATTATGTTACTGCAATGCTGCCAAAACACATTTTTGCATATATGAATTAGAAGATGCTGTTGCATGTGATTTTTGTCACTTTATACTTAAGGCCAGATTAAAGAACAAGAAGCCAAGTAGCTTCACATGCGTTTTATACGTACGTAATGGCCACAGCCCGCGTGTCCCGCCAGCAGCCGATGCCTAGAGAGCACGTACAGTGCCAAGGAACGACGCCTGTGCTCGAGCAGCTTCCACCCCGGAGGGCAGGACGGAAGATGGGGGACACGAACGCCGCGCAACGCCCTGCTGGCGGCAGGGA